CTTTTCGGTTCAGGGGTCGCTAACATGGATAAAGCGAGCCCTTAAACTACCATTCAAATTCCTCAAGAGACAAGAACATTTGTCAGGGAGAATGATCGACCCTGGGAGCGTGCAAACGACAGCGCCGCCTTGTTCCACTACACCACGTCCATCACTTAGTTCACGTCCTTCAAGTGCATCAAAACAGCCCAACTGTTCTGATCAGTTTGTTTATCTATTATGGGTATTACAATTTTTTATTCTTGCCTAAAAATGGAAATTATTCCAATTAATTCCATTTCTCACCTCCAGAATGACGTCACACATGTTTTCGTTCCGGCGGAATTGATCAAGGTGTGACATTATAGTAGCTGGTTGTTCAGCATCACGAAACACTTTTGCATCCACTTGTCCAGCTGCCACACACGCATCGCGAACTGCAACGCTTGGATGAATCCCAGATAAGCCGCATAAAAGCGAAAAATGAATCCTGGAAGCAAAATTTACCGCTAAATGAAAACGACGACGGTTTCTGCAACGAATCGTCCAATGACGTCATTGATGAGCTTTTTGCCTGCTCCACTGCATCGGTTGGATGCTCCGAAATAAGATATCGATACAACCACATAATAAAGGCAAGAAATGAGTGTATAATACTTGGGGTGGGCATCACTAGCATCAGTTCTCACCTAGCCGTACATAATAAAGTGCAGCAATATTGACTCGGCCATAATCTTATCGGAGCCCCTGACTGATCACCTTTTCAGGTCATCCATTCATCGACCGACCTCCCCAACTCCGAGTCAACAGGATCTTTCCACCAATGAAATGCCTTTCCAAATGCTTGCTTCCTCTTGCTGCCTACGTGAATTGCACGCTGTTTTGACGGGATGGCCTCCCATTCTACGCCCGTGGAAACAACTTTCACATTTTGGGAATCTTTCACTTCACTTTCTTTCACTTCGTCATCCTGGGAATCTCGTGAGAAATGAGCCAAGGACGCTGACGCAAAGCTGTTTGACCTTTCAAAACATTTTTAGAGAAACTTCAGAAATGCAAACTCTCACCACTTCGCAACCGCTCTTCAGCAGCCATTGATGGTCTCCACGAGAACGCTGACGAATGGACACTTACCAACGACCCTGTAAATGATTAGCGGAGAATTTACCACAAGTCTTCTCAAGAAGACAGAAAAACAAAACCCCATTGATTTGACTCGGCAGAGCAGCCGAAGGTTAGCTCAATGAGTTGCCATCGGTTAGTAAAATAATGAGACTTTAGCGTAGTCATGACCGTGAGAATCAAAAAGCCAAGCAGAGTTAGGGGGGAGAGGGATGAGAAAACCCAAAAGAGCAGGCCGCGAGAATAGTGAAGCGGCTTGGACCAGGGTACAGTATTGGAATGGATGGAATGGCGGTGTCATTACGCATCCCTACCCTAAAATTGATCTTCTATTATGATCCCCACCACAACTACCACCTTCCCAATTTCTTTGGTCTTTTCTCCCGTGAAAACCGAAAATTAAAAGATTAGGCCGAGAGGAGGAACCCGATTTCATCTCCATCGAAGCAGCACACGTCATCGGTGCGGAATTCTCAACAAAGGCGTCGTAATTGAGTCGCTGGGAAGGGGCGGGGTGTCTGGAAGATTGAAAAACTGGGAAACAAAGGAAAGGTTATTTCAGAGACAGTATACATACATTCCTCTCAGATGACGAGATTTTTCTGGAAAACGGGAGACGAGTAATGAGTGACGTAGGGCTTTTAAGTTGGAGGGGATCGCAGTAGAGGCAGCAGTGGGAGGATGTTACCGAATGACCGATTTTTAACATTGCTATGATACTGCACTGACACACAGAAGAGGAATAATTTAGTAGTCAGCGTAGTTCGGATTGGAGGGGGGCATTTTGCGCTTTTGCCAGTGCTTTCGTTAGTTCATATTAAGAAACAGGTCGAAGCCTCAAGGTGTGCCCTTGTGAATTTGTTCACTGGTACAAGTGAGTCAATTTAGTTGCAGGAGTTTACAGATCTTTACAATTGGGTTCTGCAAGCCTAGCTGGGGACGCTACGGTGTCCCCACCAAGCAGAACTGCGTCTAGAAGTCTACTGGAAAGTAAAAAAATATTAAAAAAAAGTATCACTTGAGGGAGGGGGGGGGGGGGCAGTTCACCTAGAAAACCCTCACAGACAAGTGTCACAACGCCTTCCTCCGTGAGAACCCATTAGGAGGGAAGAAAAATGAAAAGCTGTGCGAAGGGGAGGAGACTTCATGGAGATTATTGGGCGAGAACAAAGAAGTGAACGGTGTGAAGTGTATAAAAAGGAAATTAAATAAAAAAGGAACAAAGGCAAATTAGTCACCTTAAAGATAACACGAAAGGTTATCTTCAAAGGAACTAAGGGTGGGGGGGGGGACATGTAAGTTGTTAGCTTGTGAGCAAAAAGCTCGAGAATTGAGGTGTGAGAAGCGGGGTTCACTGTAAGGTTGGATGGAATGATGACGTCAGTGCCCCCTCCTGAATATTCTCCTCCGGTACGAATCCCCGCTCTCCCACAATCTGCCCAGCAAATTAGAAATTTTCACAAAGTTTTCCTGTCGCGGGACGGGGGAGGGGTAGAAATCGATGACCAGCTGCCAGGAAAAGCTTTGCACGACGACGCTGTAGTCTGGCAAGAAGCCCTGATTTCTCTACGCACTATTCGGTAGCAAACGCTATCGATGAGGATTTATCAGTGGTGGAGACATAGCCGGGCCGGGGCGGGGGGGGGCGTATTTGCGGCACCGGCAGTTTTGCTGAAGAGATTATATGTTGCTCATTACGACTGGCCCCTTCTTAGAGGAAAAGGTAACACCATCACGATGAGCTGCATTTCACGTATTTTGACACGTACTCCATTGCAATGGTGTGTCCTGCCCCTTCCCACCCCTCCTTCCCACTAGTCAGACAACTCAGGTAAAAAGCGCTACCGAGATCTAAGAGCGATCTAGGGAGATCTAGGCCAAGCTTTGAGGCTATCCATCGGAAAAGAAGAGAATACTAATATTGGGAACGGATTGCAGAAAAGCGATACGAGACGATTAGAGAAGGGTTTTTTATTTACCAACTCACTCAACCTTCAGTGACGCTTCAACGACCTCGACGTGAGAGGTGGTACTTGACCTTGTTCGAATGGTATGGATGTAATTATAAGAGTAGTGTTGAGTCTATATATGGTTATTGAAGGCGCAGACCGGTAACTATGCGCAATTTCGTCACTCTAATGAATATGGTCGTTCCGTCGTGAACCCCCGAACATCCCATAGAATTCGATGGCCTGGACCTATATGAGGAGACAATTGTATGACCAGGCCAAGGGGCTGCGATTGGAAAATCGGTCTTCAGCATGGAGCCCCTTCAGCGCCTCGAAGATGAATGTTGCCTGCACCCCCACCGCACTTGCTCCCTGCATACTGCGTTATGTCAGAAGAGACAGCAAGTGAAAGGGAGACTAACGCGTACAGATCGTGATGTGTGAGATAGCGGTGTAGGTACGACCCCCCCCCACCTAGATGAGGGTCTCGGTATGACCCCCCTTCCCCCGACACCTATCAATTCCCCACATTTTCTAGTCCAATTTTTCACCCAAAAATTTTCCGAGGAGGGGGGAGGGGAATATGTAGCCAACGAGAAACGGGAGAATTAATTTCCTACCAGTTTTTTCCGAATTTCCCAAAAATTTTCCTACTTTTTCCCTAAAATTTTGCTATCGAGCGAGGGGAGGGGAGAGAGGAAGGGTATACAGTGCACATGAAACAGGAAAAATCACGCGAAAAGTTCAAAAAGTCAGCATCCGGAAAACCAACACGACATTTTTCTCTCAAAGCAACGTACGACCTTCCCCCTCTCTCCCAACGACCAAATACGACCCCTCCCC